AGGAATGCTCCGGGTCTGGCAGAGCATTGCCACTGGTGAGAAAGACATGGACGTCTTCTCTTCTACACCATCCCATGACAAAAGTGAGGAATTTGGACTATGTACTTGTCTGCATCTGGGCAAGAGGAAATTTAAAATGTATTCATACTTCTTTCTGAATGTGTTAAGAGTTACAGGCTGTATGTTGTCTGCTGCTTAAGTAAAGGGTGATGCTGATAGGTAAATACAATTCTAAACCAAAAATGCCTCTAACCTAGGTCTAATAGCATGGATATCACAGAATCACAGAATTTTAGGAGTTGAAAGGGACTTTGAAAGATCATCCAGTCCAACCCCCCTGCCAGAGCAGGATCACCTAGACCAGGTCACACAGGAACGCGTCCAGGCGGGTTTTGAATGTCTCCAGAGAAGGAGACTCCACAACCTCTCTGGGCAGCCTGGTCCAGTGCTCTGTAACCCTCACAGTAAAGAAGATTTTCCTCATGTTCACATTGAAGCTCCTATGCTCCATCTTGCTCCCATTGCCCCTTGTCCTGTCATTGGCTATTACTGAGAAGAGCCTGGCTCCTTCCTCCTGACACTCACCCTTTACAAATTTATAAACATGAATGAGGTCACTCCTCAGTCTCCTCTTCTCCGAGTTAAAGAGACCCAGCTCCCTCAGCCACTCCTCAGAAGGGAGATGCTCCACTCCCTCCATCATCTTTGTGGCTCTGCGCTGGACTCTTTCAAACAATTCCCTGTCCTTCTTGAACTGAGGGGCCCAGAACTGAACACAATATTCCAAATGTGGTCTCACCAGGGCAGAGTAGAGGGGAAGGAGAACCTCTCTCGACCTACTCACCACACCCCTTCTGATACACCCCAGGATGCCATTGGCCTTCTTGGCCGCAAGGGCACACTGCTGGCTCATGGTCATCCTGCTGTCCACCAACACCCCCAGGTCCTTTTCTGCCTGGCAGCTTTCCAGCCACTTGTCCCCAAGCCTGTAGTGCTGCATGGGGTTATTGCAACCGAAGTGCAGGACCTGGCACTTGGCCTTGTTTAAGCTCATACAGTTGGTTTCAGCCCATTGATTCAGCCTGTCCAGGTTCCTCTGCAGAGCCTTCCTACCCTGTATGGTATCATATGATCCTGATATCCACTTCTGAGTGCTCTAGACTACTGCCTGTGTGCAAATCACTGTAGATATATGGAGAGTTCTCTTTTAAGAAAATAAATCTGGTTATTGATGGTATGAAATGTAGTTTATTTCAGAGTCTCATGGGAGAGATTAATTAATGCAAACAACAAGATTTCCTAAGACCAAAACATTTTGGATTCAACAAATGTTTAACTACAAGTCATAATAAAAAACCCCTAAAAATTACACAAAGTATCTGCAGCTCTCATCTGAAACAGAACCATGTTGTATAAGCTGGTAACACATTTGGTTGTATTTTAGGTTTTTCCATATCAGATTGCTAAAGAAAGTCAGTTATGTTTAAAAGTAGTCACTCTTAATTGCATTCTTTATTCCTGCAGCTCTAGTTTGTAGTATGTCATATCTTATGTAAAATCTCTTTTTCTCTTTAAGGCACATGGAAAAGGAAATATAATGGACTACAAGAAGGTGGGTAAATTACATTTAAATCTCATTATTATTTTAATGGGCTTTTTTGGTAATATTTTCATGGTTATTCTCGACAGTTGAGAGGAACTTACTTATTGAAGTCAGGTTATAATTTGTGCCTGTGTATATGGAGGGAGAGAAAATGGCTTGTGCGATTTCTTGATTTTTAAAAAGGCAGTAATAGTCAGCTGTACTGTAAGTATCAAATGTAGCTATTTAATAATATTTTTTGCCATTATATATGTCATTTACTTTTCCCAAACTCAGTTTTGAAACCAGGCTTCTGATGGCTTTTGCTGCTCTTTTTTTGCAGTCATTTGCAGGTTAGCTCCCATCAGTGGTCTCTTTATATTGACAAAGTATGCTGTTAGTTTTTTTTTTTAAAAAAATCTTATCTTAATGCCATGCTGTCTATTTAAAAAATATACATATTTTATAGTAATTTGTGTTTCTTTCTGTCCCCATTACAACTTTCAGCTAAGTCTCCACTGTATTTGCTACTGGGACTGCTCTATAGTAAAGACAGACCTGAACTAAAGAGCTTATCTACTGAAAGTAGCTGAGGCACCATAAAGCTCTCAGAGAGCTGCAGGAGGTGGCTGAGAAGGTTCCCCTGGTTAAATACTGGAGCACAGCACCAGCTGTGGTGCAGACAGATGATGTTGTGTTCCCAACTCGCTCAGTGAGCGTGAGACCATCTTGTTCTGAGTCTTAAGTAGATCTTGAGGGTCCAGTTAGTTGTCTCCAGCATCAATGAGAAATAATATCTGAATCATTGAGAACTGCTTCTTGAACTGGGACCTGAAAAGTGTTACAGCTGTGGCTGATTGCTGCTAGTGTTGAAGGCTGACACACAGGTACAGGTCAGACTTTTATGATGATTATTCTGAATGGAGAAAATTTGTAATTTGGATTATTAAAAAAGCTTTCTGCCCTTCCTTTCTCTTAGAATGTAAAAAGGATCTCAACCATAGCTCACTATTTAAAAACATTGTGCTTTTAGTTTTTTCTAAAAAAGAAGAAAATTTATACAACTGTGACTCTAAGTCACCACTGAGAGCACTAAATTTCTTCTTCAAATGTGTCTGAGTATGTGAGGCACTTCTGTGAATTTTATGCTTTTGTAATGGGTTTTCTCCTTTTGATTGTCACAATTGTGATCTGCCTAATGTCACTTCCATAGTTTGGTTGGTTTGATTTTTAAAAAAAAGGGGGGAGGTGAAGCTTCTAAAATTGCTTTACTGAATTAAATATATTTCAGTGTATTCTGTATTTTGACTAAAATTATTTCATATTTTGGATCTTTCTCATTAAATTTAAAAACTTACAGTATGCTTAGGCTACTTGGACACTTGAATAAAAGGAAAGGAAGGGGAAAAAGCCCACCAAGTTTTGTATTTGAGCAATTTCCTTCAGCCAGAAAGCACATGATTTTACTAGCTCCAGGTAGTCGTCTCTTACACAGATATTATAAGTTCAGTAATGACAGTGAAAAATTCTCCATGGCTTTTGTGAGCTCAAACAATAATCAACTTCGGTTTTTGTAGAAGTCTGTTTCAAAACGATGATGTTATGTCCCTCTCTTCTATGTTTCTTCGTTAAAAACAAAAGTGGTCATTAGTTACATCCATGCGAAACGAACCCGGTAACCTGTAGCTCACCCCAGCACAGTGCCTTGGCCAGTGCATCCACACAGCCCATTAGGAGGCACATTGTGCGATACAAATTAGGATTTCCTTTTTGCCCTTTGTGTTGTCTTTATTTCTACATCACTGGAGTCGGTGTTTTGCACATTGCTCGGCCTTTTCTTCTCAGCATCAAGGTCCCCTCTCATCTTTCTATTCAGTTGCTAGAATTACTTCAATGTTCCTAATCAAATTTGGAGGCTTGTTTCTCATCGAGTCTCCAAAATATCTCCTCATTAATTTTGTAGAAGCAAAGGTCACCAAAGCTAGCTGTAGAACTTCTGAAAAATTGTATTATTTTTGTTCTCCTAATTTTTATTATGAACTTCAGTGTGTCACTTAGTTGAGCTAAAAATGTTGTTCCTTTACTTGAATTCATAAATATACGTATACAAAAATTGTCAGCTGTTTGGCCTGCTTAAGAGTATTTTAACTTACTTGCTGTGGCTTTCAATTAAAATAATGAATGAAGATAAACTTGAGAAATTGAGATCCATCCATTTAACATGTCTCCTTAAAGGCAAAGGTCTCTTTTTGTTTCAATGTTGAGACTGCTCAAGAGTTTTGAATTGTTCTTTTGATGGGTGTTACATTAAAATGGTATCCTTGATTTTTTTCACTGACAAAAAATATCTAGATGGAACGAGTAAATTTAGTGAGGATTCTGACAAATATAGACATGAAATACTTTCTGTTAATATAATTAGGTCTGAGGCTGTCATGTCAATAAGGTCACTATGTTCTGCAAAATTTTTAGTATTTTTTTTTCTCACAGCTTTTCTCAATCTTGTTATCAGAAGGACTTTTATCTCAAAAAAGGCTTCTTTTAAGGTGTGTGTTTCTGAATATATTTTCATAGTAGTATCTGACTGTTTCACTCTTCCCCCTGTCCCTCATCACACCACATCCAGACAAATTATTGATCCATCACTGTGGTGTTTTAAAGTCTCCTCCAGAGATGAAAAACTAGTTTCAGCTCTGTTTTAGTGGTGTTTCTCAGATAACAAAAGAGAAAGTACCAGTATATGTCAGGGACAAAATTCATGTGTGTCACTGAAAGAGATGGCAGCTTTCCTGTCACCCTCATTTGTATGTGGGATTTTGGCAAAAATCTCAGACTTTTTAAAATCAAAAGGCTTTTATCCATTTCACATCTACTTTGCATGCATGATAAGATGTGTAATTCTAAAACAACAAATTGAGATTCTCAATTTAATTGTTACCATTTTATAATATTGATTAAAACCTCTCCACTGAAGTCAAGGCCTTAATGGTGCTTGGCGTTACATGAGTGTGTTAAATGAGTGGAACAAAGGCACAACACGTAGCTGAAATGGATAAGCTAGGAATAATTCTTGTTTTCTGGCCAAGGTTCTAGAAAAACTGTAAGATAAGGCTAAATAAATAAATAAATGCTATATTTTGCAACCAGTGAGTATGCTACTGCAAGGCTTTATTCTTTCTAAATGCAATGTTCCGAAAAGATAAATTAAGTCAAGTGAAAGAAGACACAGCAATTTTTTTTACGGTAGCCCTGTCCATTTGCTCTGCTGTCAGTTATAGAGGCCTTTCAGCCAGACTGGCATGGGAGATGCAGTACATCAGCACAGTATGCCGTGATATACTTCACTGGTTTGTCTGTGAAACACCGTGTATGATGCTGACTCAGAGAGTGGATTTTGTACAGTACTGGAAGTACCATGAGTCAAGGAGTGGTGGGCCCAGCCATTCATACCCTCCACGGCACTGATGTCTTTACTTCCCATATGGTAGTAAAGAGGGAAGAAAAATGGGAAAGGTCACATTTGGAAACAAGGAGCTTTCTCAGTGGTAGCCTACTGCCATGCAAGTAATAAATAACAGTAACACCGTGCCATCCAGTTGCCTTAGGAAGAGTCGCATGGCTCCCCTGCCCCAGCTTGCTGTTGGCTGCCATGGTTGATGCCTTCATCCTGCCACAGTGCTGGCTGCAGAGCAGCTTTACAGTCCCTTGGCGTAAGTGACAGTGGTCCCACGGTTCTGTTTAATTCAATGCCAGCGAATCATCATGAGATATCGTGAGACTATAGACAGTAGACTGTGCCCTCTCTTGCTTCTGAAATGAAGCAAAAACTTAAAAATGAGATTGTTTTTTGTGGATGCTTATGACCTGTGGCAGTTTTCCATGAAAAATGGTCTTCTTTGTTTTGGGGCAGCCACTGCTATTAGTTCCTTTTGTTACATATATCGAAAAAACCCAACAGAATAGTCAGTGATTTAATGAATATAGGGGCTTTTTAGATATGTTAGTAATATTACAAAAGCAGCCAAAACCACTCAGAAGCAGCAATTTTCTCCTTTGTTGGAATTAACCATATCTGAATTATGAAGGTGTACATTCAGTACCAAAAACCAGTTGCATCTTTGTTTTTAATCAGCGGGTATTTTCCATGGCTGCTTTGGGATGAGAATCCAGCACAACTTTTGTTTCATACAGGCAAACAATTACCACATGTTTTAACATAAATATCAAGTTAATTGCTTGTGTATGCTAAGATGACAATTAGCAATCACTATTTGCATTAATGTGATTTAAGAGAGTCATGCTTTCTGGTAAAAAAGGCATCACTTAACTATCGTTGTTCACATTTAAAAAGATTTAAAAGCTAGTGGGCCTTGTTAAATTCATTGTCAAAGACATGGAAAGACATAAGGAGGAGGAGTTAGTGTTGCTACTAAAATATTAAAGGGTCTGTGCAATCAATCAGTGTCTCAGGATGAGTTGTATTTTTTTGGCAAATTGTACTACAAGAACTGCATAACAGCTGGCGTAGCAGTGTTCCCTGTAAGCAGGCCATCTTTCCTCTACTGCGGGGAGTGAAAAGGCGACCAGATTTGGTTCCTTCCTAGATAAGGGTGAGTTTGAGTTTGAAATAAAAAGAGAATTTTTCTGTTTGTCAGATGAGTAAGGAAAATAAATCATACTCTACCAGTGGAAGTTTCTTCAGGGTGTTTATGCCCTTTAAAGATGCGTTTCTTTATCTTTTGTATAGAAAATGTTTTTAAGAAAATCTTAGATAAACACTGCCCCAGTTTCAACTAGTATATCATGCTTCATATAGCCAACAAGGATTAAAAAAAAATTTTGTGTAGTTATGAAGTGATGCAATTAAATGATTGTCCATCCCATTTTGTGAAGGAAGAGCATAACCTTGTGTCCAACCACAAAAGCTCTAAGAGTGGATGCTGAGACATTCCAAGGTACTTAAAAAACAAAGAAAAAAATTGATGAAATTGATCTACTAGCTGTGAAATGTCTCAGTACCTTTTCAAGGT